GGAGGGGGAGACTGGAGGGAGAGAAGCGAGGGGAAGAAGGGAGAGTGCAAGAAGGAGGGGTTAAGGATGTGAGGTGCAGGGAAGGGGGAGCCATGCGCCTCGAAGGGCCAACCCTCCTGTGTGTTGGGTTCTCGTTTCGAATCCGCGCCGCGCTCTACCTCCCCACCTCCTCCCCCTCCTCCTTCACTTCCTCATCTCCGCTCTCGCTCCTTTTCGATGGATTCACATGATGCCCCGCCCCGTCTCGTCAGACCCCTCGCACTCTTCGAGGCCCACAGGGAGCTCCACCGAAGGCCCCAGTGGCTGCGTTCCCACGTTGCCCCCCTTTTTCGGCAAACCCCGCACACGCTCCGTGGCCCCAGATGGAGTTCCACCAGAGGCCACAGTGGTTGTGTTCATGTCGTGCGCCGCCCCTTTCCGGCGGACCCCTCACACGCTCCAGGGCCCCATAGAGAGCTCCTCCGAAGGCCCCAGTGGTTGGGTTCACATGTTGACCGTCCGTTTTCGGCGCGCACCTCGCTGCGTGTCTCCATATTGAGTTTCACCGAATGCCCCAGTGTTGGGGTTCACATGGTGCCCCGTTTCATTTCGGCACACCCCTGTTACGCTTCGTGGCCGTAGGGTTCAGTCGGGCATGTCCCTCTACAGGAGGATGTTTCCACTACGTGTAACAATGTTTGATTATTTGTTTAATGAATTTGTCCTCCCAAACCCGCCTGTAGGAGGACATGCCCGACCTACCCGTAGAGGGACCTCCACCGAAGGCCCAAGCGGTCGGGTTCACATGGTGACCCGCTTTTTTCATGCTGACCCCTCAAACGCTTCGTGGCCACATGGGAAGTTCAACCGGGGGCACCTTTGGTTGGGCTCACATGTAGCCCCGCCACATTTCGATTAACCCCTCACACGTGTCGTGGCCTCATAAGGAGCTCCACCGAAGGCCGTTGTGGATGGGCTCACATGTTGACCCGTCCGATTTCGGCGCACCCCTCACACGCTTCGTGGCCCCGTAGAGAGCTCCACCGAAGGCCCCAGCGGCTGGGTTTTACATAGTGCCCCGCCCCAATTCGGCGCGCTCCGCACAGGCTTCGTGGCCGCGCGGGCAGTTTCGGAGGCCCCAGAGGATGGGTTCACATGGTGCCACTCCGCCCCAATTCGGCACACCCACACTCGCTTCGTAGCCCCCCCGTGCGTGCGTGAATGGGGTATGTTTATTGTGGTCTGACGTTTTTCGGCCAGGCGTTCAGGGGCACTGCAGCTCCCTCGGAGCGTTTTTTTTTTTTTTTTTATCGAGCTGTTCTGTGTATAGCCAGCACTTGTTTAGAACAGCGTGGGTTCCTTGCCGTGTCTTAGCGGCGAAGGGATTATTCATCCTTTAAACCAAACTATCGCAGGAGAAGGACTAGAGTGGACCCAACGTGTTTCAACGATTCTGCAATACATCTTGTCCCAAGTACCTTCGTAATCCCGAGCCCCTCCATGTTGAGCCTCGAGATCGTACCCTGTAGATAAGTCTCTTGCTGGTGTCGCGACAGGGACGAGCTATTGATTTGTAAGGCAAGGGGGATAGAGGAAGAGGGCGACGACGAGGAGGAGCGGCACGGGGGGGAGGAGAAGCAGCAGCACGGTGACAATGTGGAAACGTTGTTGTAATGTTGCCTACGAGAATTCAGGTAAATGCTGTAGGCGTCCACCTTTCACAGCGGTAATGCGTGCTGTGGGGAGGGGCAGGGAATTGCATCGCACAGCGCACCGAATGTGCGCGAGTCTGTTTCCAGGATCTCATGAGCATTGGCACCGACGGATGTTGGACCCGAGAGACCATGGGATCGTTTGCAGCCCCATCCTTGCATAATGTGTACCCGTTGACCCGCAAAACGTCTGTCCGCCAATTCCCACGGCCCGCTCTGTCGACTACATGTTGCTTTCCACCCCTGAACCGATCATACACAGCCGCTGTTCCCCGCGCACGATGTCCCCGAGCTAAACACCAGACATCTGCTCGATCCCGCCGTCCCCGCGCTCGCGCTCCAGATCGTCAAATCCACGCAGAGCTAGCAGCATTGCCACTGCGACGTAACACGTGTGAGTTGGGGAGGACAGGCCCATATCGGATGCCGTTTTGCCCCCGCGCAGCCTGTAGGGGGAGACCCATCGAAGGCCCCTCGATCGGGTCCGAACCCAGTGGGCATAGGATCCAGAGCCGCAAGGGGGACAAAAGAGCATCAACAACGCGACTCCATCGGGAGCCCGTCTGCGTGTTGCTCCCTCGCTTCTGTCCGAGGCCCTCGTGCTCCTTCGACCCGAGCACGCCGATGGGCCGACGGGTTCCCAACGTCAGCGTGCTGCTGGTCCCGTCCACGGGCCCGCGGCCTGGCGGGCAAGGGCTGTCGCCAGGCCGCGGGCCGAGGGCCCACGCGCCTCGGGCACGGCGCTCGCCGGCCCTGGCGCCCTGCTCTCGCCAGGCCCCCGCCGGCTGCCTGCTCTGCTCTTCCCCCCCCCTTGAGCCCGCTGCTGCTTCTCCTCCTCTCTCGCTCCGGGCCCGCCCCGTGCGGGGTGCCCCCCGCGACTCGGCGGGACACCGATCCACCGCTTTGGGGAGTTTTCCTCGTCAGATGTGTGGGCCCCCCAATGTGAAATACATGGAACCGCTGCGTGTACGACCTCGCATGCCAGGCAGCAGGTGGACCAGCACCTCTGCAAGACTTGTGGCAAGGTTCCGCACACGCGTGGCGCGCAGCTGCCAGGCGCCTCTGCTTCTGAGCACCGGTATGAGCCCGAGTGCCACTACTGCCAATGCACCCTGGACGTGCACGGCTCGCTCTCTCTTTCTCTTTCTCTCTCTCTCTCTCTCTCTCTCTCTCTCTCTCTCCCCCACACTACGCCGGCAGGAAGACATGCCCGACTTGAGGCTAGACGGATGTCCCGCGGAAGGTGGTGGGGTGGCGGTTTCGTTCCGAACGTCGGGCCCAGCCATTGGGGCAGAGGAAAGCGCCTCTCAGGAATGGGGGCTCGTGGCTCAGGTGGCTCCAGAGGCTCGTCAAAGCGCGCGGCCTGAAGAGGGGGCTCATGATCCCTGCCTGGGGAGAGGGGTCCCATAGTCACGGGAGGGAAAACCACGCGGACCCGACATGTGGCGTTTGCTAAACGGCCTTGGGCGTTTACTAAGCGGCCCTGCCCTGTTTGAATCCTCATTCGGGTGCGTTTACTAAACGGCTTCGCGTGTCGGGGTGGTTCTCATGTGGGTGGAGTTTCTGCCCTCCGCATGGGTCCAACAATGTGTCAGAGGGCAGTCCGGTCGGGCGGGGGGCGGGCAGGAAGGATGCGAGGAAGGAATGGGCAAGGGGTTACGCTGGGGAGGCGAGGAGGCGGATCAGAGGTGGCCGTAGTGGGAATCGGTGGAGCTTGAAGTCCTGTAGTCAGGCAGGAAAAAAACACAGACACAATGAATCGTCGATTCCCCAGACAATATCGGAAAATATGGGAAGTGGGGGGGAAGACGAAAACCCAGAAAATATTCGAAAATATAGGGAATCCTGTTATTTGTGTATATTTATTTGTGTGTCCCAGGGAGCTTGAAGCCCTGTAGGTCAGCGCAGTCGGTTTTGCCCTCTACCATTGTCGATACTGCTGAGAGCCAGTCCCAGCCATAGTACTTGGAGTGACTGGTCGTGTCGGGAACGTGTTCCAACCGGCCCTGCATGGGCAGCCTCCTTAACGCGTGCCCCAGCATGCCGCGCAAATGGATACAGGAGGCAGTTGATCAAGATCGAAGCAATGCATTCACAAACGCGTAGGTGTTGATCCCACAAAGCATATCCAGTCCGATAAATTAGAATGTGGTGATCTCCGAGCGTCCACGAACAGCATGTTGTAACATTCCGTGCGAACGAACCCCACACGGATACGGAGAACCAGACCCGGTAGCCGAATTCGCATGCCATGGTCGGGATTCGTGTCGGAGATGATGTCGTCGTCGGGGCCGGTATCGGAACCTTCGTTGTAGATGTAATGTTCGTCGATGCCATCGTCCCCGTCACCGCCGCCGAATTACAGTCGACCCGGTTGTAACGACATCCGTTTGAATCGTAATTTTCACGATCGGCGCCGAATAATTAGAGGAGTCGGGAATCTCAGAACACGACAATCGGAAGCCAGAGTCCAGACAAGATCTGCGACGGGATCGGGGGCTGAAGCTGGGTGAGGGCTGAAGCTGGGAGAATCATGATAACGATATGCCGCACATTATCATGCTGCCCGTCGTCGTGTCGTTGTTTGTCGTCGCCGTGCCTTTCGCCATCATCATCGTGCCGTTCGGATTGCACCGTGCACCCCACTGCAAGATCACCGATAGTGCGAGAGACCAGAGTTGGAACGCTAGAAGTAGCACCACAAGTAGGGAGTCGGAATGGGGTAAACCACCACGCTCCCCCTAAAGAGTATCGGGAGCGCTCAGGAGGTCTCTAGCCTCCATGGGAATTCTCGTGGGCACCGTGCTCAGAGACACCATGAAGTCTCTGGAGAATGTCTCGTTTGGTTCATCGTGGGAATTCCTTACGTTGAGGCCCCGTGCAGGGAGGGGAGTCGGAGGAAGCAAGACCTGCATTGCGCATTATGGCCCATAGTTTGTAGTCGACGCAAAACCCACGACGACGTCGCCAGGCTCAGTGCTATCGGACCTGGTATCGGAGGCTGTATCGATGCAGCCGTCGATCAAGCAATGGGAGCCGCCGCCAGAGATCTCGTCGGAGACGTGGTTGGACCCGCCGTGCCGAGATCCTTTGGGGTCCTTGCGGATCTCTGGATCGGAAAATTATTGGCGAGGGTAGCGTGTGCGACGCGATCAAAAGCCAAGGTCAAGTCAGGAGCTGGCGGCAGCAGCAAATCCATAATTGAATATGAGTTTCAATATTGAACAATGGTTTCAATAACTACGAACATTGGTTTCAATCGGTAGCACCCGTTTCGTGATCTCTTTTATTGTTCCGGTGCGAATTTGTTTCGGTGTACCTCCACCGATTTGTTTCGGTATTTCCACAAATCTGGTTTGGTCCCCCCACTGATCTGTTTTGGTACCTCCGAAAACCCTCTCGGTCCCTTGACCAATCCGTTCGATGTTACCGGGAACCAAAAAATCCGTTTCAGTATTTCTATCAATGTTCAATTTGTTATAATATTTCTACGAATCCGTTTTCTGTTTTTCCAATAATTTGTATGTTCATTTTTCGCCATTCCTTCTCTTTCCCCCGTCCTCCGTTCCCGTCCTTGTCCCCGTCCCTGTGGCTCCCCCTGCCTTCTTTCCGATCTCCTTCCTCCCTTCCCTCCCTGCGCAGCCCGAGAAAATTGCGGCAACGGCGGGGGCCGCGATGACAGGCCTCTGGGGCCAAGGCCTCGAAATCGCGCGGTGGATCAATGCCAGAAGGCCGTTTCGGCCAGATTTGAGAAAAGAATCCGATTGTGGCGACGATTTTTTTTTACGATGAAAAGTTGCGGCCGCACGGCACGTCTACAACGTCGACGGCGGCGAAGATTAGGTTGCGGCACACGGATTTTGTTATCGTTTTTGGGATCGATCCTGGAGCGCGTGCTTATGGAATGAAGAATTCCGGCGTTGGTGGTGATGTCGGTCATTTCAGAAGCGAGAATATTAGCACCATCGCCGAGATCGCGATCGTCTTCTTTCGGTGGAGGTACACCGCCGATCTTGGTGTTGGTGCAAATGTATCGCGCCGCACGTGTAAAGTCATGGGGATGTCGCGGCCATTTTGGATGATGATACCGATGGCGTTCCAGGAAACAAATATATTTGAATAGGCGATTGTCCGTTTCGGAAGTGGCGCAAAGATTCATCGTTGGTTTAAACGAGCCATGAATCGGAATTCAACCCAGCGTGAAGTTGCGTCGCGATCCGTATATGTTTGTGGCAACGACGACAAAGGAAAGAGAAAAAGAGAACGAGCCAGCCAAAAAATACGAGCATTTTTTTAGGGTGGAAGATGGGCTACATCGAACATTTTTACCTAACAGCGAAGACTGATAGGTTTCTAGTAGTGTCAAAAGAGGTCACAGATCACTCCACAGGGGGGTCCGGGCAGGTGTTGGGAGTTGCCGGGCGGGCCTGTGCCGAGCTCGTTTTTCACCAACAGTCACACACTTCGTGCTCTTCGAGTTCCCAGAACTCCATTCCCAGGCTCATTCTGAATAACCGGATGCAACAGTCACACACTTCGTGCTCTTCGAGATCCCAGAACGCCATTCCCGGGCCACATTCTGGAGGGCCGGATGCAACAGTCACACACTTCGTGCTCTTCGAGTTCCCAGAACTCCATTCCCGGGCCACATTTTGAATGCCCGGAGCCAACTGTAGGCCATTCGTGCTCTTCGAGTTCCCAGAACTCCATTCCCGGGCCACATTTTGAATGCCCGGAGCCAACTGTAGGCCACTTCGTGCTCTTCGAGTTCCCAGAACTCCATTCCCGGGCCACATTTTGAATGCCCGGAGCCAACTGTAGGCCACTTCGTGCTCTTCGAGTTCCCAGAACTCCATTCCCGGGCCACATTTTGAATGCCCGTAGCCAACTGTAGGCAACTTCGTGCTATTCGACTTCCCAGAACTCCCATTCCTGGGCCACATTTTCAGCAGGGGCAAGAGCACGACGAGGAGGAGGACGAGCAAGACCAGGAGGACGAGGACGAGCAGGAGCAGGACGAGGAGCAGGAGGAGCAGGAGAAGAAGGACGAGCAGGAGGAGGAGGAGGACGAGCAGGAGGAGGAGGACGACCAGGAGGAGGAGGACGACCAGGAAGAGGAGGAGGAGGAGGAGGGGAGGGGGAGGAGTACCAGGAGGAGGAGGAGGAGGAGGAGGAGGAGGAGGAGGAGGAGGAGGAGAGGAGAGGAGGAGGAGGGGGGGGGAGAGTACCAGGAGGAGGAGAACGAGGACCACCAGGAGGAGGAGGAGGAGGAGGAGGAGGAGGAGAGAACACCAGGAGGAGGAGGACGAGCAAGACGAGGAGGACGAGAACGAGGACGACCAGGAAGAGGAGAGGAGGAGGAGGAGGAGGGGAGGGGAGGAGGACTACCAGGAGGAGGAGGAGGAGGAGGAGGAGGAAGAGGAGGAGGAGGACGAGGAGGAGGAGGAGGAGGAGGACGAGGAGGAGGAGGGGGGGGGAGAGCACCAGGAGGAGGAGAACGAGGACCACCAGGAGGAGGAGGAGGAGGAGGAGGAGGAGGAGGAGAGAGCACCAGGAGGAGGAGGACGAGCAAGACGAGGAGGACGAGAACGAGGACGAGCAGGAGGAAGAGGAGGAGGAGGAGGAGGAGGAGGAGGAGGAGCAGGAGAAAGAGGAGGAGAGGAGGAGGCAGGCTGAGGCTGAGGCTGTGACTGCGACTGCCGTTGCCGCTGCGACTGTCATCGCGAATGCGACTACGACTGCGAGAACAGCAGAATTCGACAACTGGATTTTCATCTGAATCTTAAGGGGAATGCTTTCAGATATGCTT